GTAACTACATACGTATAAAAATGATCGAATACTAATAATAGTACTATATTACTGTTATAGAGTAATATAGGGTTAATAGTACTGTAACGATAGCACCAAAATGCTCTGTTCATGTACAGCAATAATATAAACTAACATTTTCGTTGTTGTAATGAGCCGCGACGTGCAACGGCGTCACCTGGTTCTTGCCAATAGCATCTACGTCGGCGCCCCTTTCGACCAGCAGCTTCGCAACCCCGACGTTTCCGTACTTGGCGGCGAGATGCAGGGGCAAAAATCCTTTTTTCGTCGCCACATCGGTCGATGCATTATGGTCGAGAAGAATCGCCGCAACTTCCTCCTAGAAAAAACAAAAACGATTAATGAAAAATTCGTCACAAAATAATGTCTCCGAATTTAATATGAAATTATTAAACACTTGACTTTCGGTTCGAAAAGACATCAACTACTTATCAATGGAAAAAATGATAAAGAGAGAAAATGTTAAAAACTTGAAAAAAACATTTGCTAAATGAAGCTGTCGGAAAAAACGAAGGTGTTGCTTTTTCAGTACAAGTTAATAATCTGCAGAGGAAGCATCAGTATTCACAGATAACATTTAAATAATTAAAGCAGAACAATTAATGAAAAAAGATAACGTATGCAAGAAGAAACATCTAGGAAGAAAAATGGAAAACAATACGGAAATAAACAGCAAAAATGAAAATAAATAAATGGAGTACAAATTAAACTACTAAAGATCAGATTCCAATGATGTGAAAGATGTTCTAAGCTTAATTCATCCATTATATGGACCGCATTAAATTCTTTATTGAAACCGGATTCATTTATCATGATACCGGCGGTTATGTTATGATTGATGTGTATAATATTCCCTTTAGACGAGCTTCACGCGTAGTTCTGTCATATCAGTGCAAATCTGTCGGCAACGCCTTACAATTCATTCGGTAAGCGGGCCAACTTTTAAGTATGTCATCTGTCATAATGCCCATCATAAAAGATGTTGCTGACGGTGATGTCTTTCCTACAGATGATACTGAAACCTACCTTAGTTGGATAGCAAACGAGATGTGGGAATAAATGCAAGTTAAAAGGTAAAAATAAGTTGTTTGCGATTATGTTGAGAAGAAAGATGGTAACCTGGATGAGAGATGATGCCAAAGAAGACTTGGTCCTCACCACCGTTTTCAAATATGGATGAAATATTTTGGATTTCAGGTTTAAATACCGATGGACAATTTCAAATGAGACCACTGCTTTGCGCAAACTGTAGAGTTTTACATAAGCTTCATTCAATGACGACTCTGTTAAATGTAGAAGGCATACACTCGAGATAAACTGAAATGATATGGTGAAAGTGGTAAAATTCTATATACATAGTGAGAATCACGTATAATTTCTGTGTACAGTTTTTTCCTTTCGCACTTTTATGTAGATGACCATGCACTCGTCAATAAATATTTCCTGATGTATTTCACCAAGTAAACGACGTAACTAAAAACGGTGTAACTAACCAACAAAACGCTGTGCAGGCTGCTTCATGAGCCAGTCAGTAATTATATTATCAGGATGCGATATCACAAAATCAATCATAATTTTAAATATGACTTCAGATTTTTACTAGAGTACTAGTACTAGCCGATAGTTATATGGATAGGTGGCTGAATGGTTCATTCTTCAGGGCACCGGATACAACAAATGGTAAAACCTTAATTGCCAACGTGTTCCGCTTCAAATACCGTAGCATCATAATGGCTGGGCTGGGCACATGAACGCTTGAAGACATTTTGTGCCATAAGGGATAATAATTTTAATAACTTAAGTCCATTATGGGGCTACTGAGTCTAATCTACGATTCACTACTTCCTGTTAAAATAGTGTATTAATGAGAAAAATAAGTGATCTTCCATAAATCATATATGCTGTTTTCGAATTCGCTTTGTAAAAGAGGTGGAATAGTAAAATAGAGATTTAAGTGTTGCGCGATAAGACGTTTGCGCAACCCTACGGAATCATGAGTCGACACGTTTGATGAGAAACTCACGGTGCACAACGAATTTCAGTAAGAGCTCCGTGCCCAAATACGTCGTTTGTTGCGCAAAGGATGCAAAAAAACATGTTTGTCAAAAAACAGGTCTAAAATAATGTCTTTTTAAAATTTCAATATTATACTAAGATTTGATTTTTTTGAATACCTGCAAAAAAATTTATATTTGTTGTTTATTCCATAAAAACTAACATTTTTTGAAATAATTTTTTTAAAAGACATCTGTAATTCGACGGTCGACTTCGCTGACTACTCACACATCATACCACATGAGTTGTAGAAATTAGCCACATAAGGACGTACTCGAAAAAAAAACCATT